AGTACAGCTTCATATGCTGTCTGTCGGACATATTGAGGCATAGCATGTACTATTTTCCTTGGTCCTTATATCTGCTAATTAATTTATCAAAAAAAAGGAACCCCGGGGTGGACCACTCCAAGGAAAATTTTCATCAAAAAATATATATGTATATATCAAAAAAAAAAAAGAGACCCGGATCAAACTGATGATTTAAGAGAAGATAGTTCAACTTCAATAACTCAAAATTTCCTGTTCTGCTCATCGGAGCGCAAGGATGAAGTATTCCATACAAATATCAGCCTCAGTGACATTAACGCAGCATCAGATTCAGAGCAGTATGGAACTTGAGTTAAAAGAAAAGGGAGGGCGGCGAGTAATGAGGACCCGAAACTGCCACAAGAGAAGGCATTTTATTTGGTTTGCCAACCTGGGTAGTGGGAGCCTCGATAAAAACTGGAAAAGACTAGATGGATACAAAAAACTCTCTGGCCTGCAACTATTGCTACCAACCAGCCCCCCTCAAGGGGCGAATCTCATCATGCTTGGGGATATTACTGTACACTTGGAAGCTCAGGTTATGCAAATACATAATGGTGAAGTTAAGGGTAGGAACTGGCAGAAATAAGCAGGTAGACCCACCAATCTTAAGAAGACGAGCTTGTTGCTGCAGTATATGCAGGATACTATACATTGGAAAGGAATAAAGACTCCTCACTGTGACATGGCATCTTCTGATGGTGCAAGCACTTGAGTTCCCCTGTGTTGTCGTTGGTGTACTTGGAATAGTCAACTGCAGAATCACCTAAAGGGAAAAAAAAAAAGAAAAAAAAAAAGTTAATTCATTATCAGCATCTTACTGAAAAGAATAAACAAAAAGAAGATTTTAAAATGATAGCATTGGAAGATGCATTACTGCGAACATTGTCAGCTGACGATGCCCTTGGTAAGCCACTTTTTACAGAAGTTGAATGAACTCTTGACAGAATTCTTCAGAGGGCAGTGTTATGAATCATAAGCAGTTAAACAAACAAAGCAAAGACAGAAAAAAGACAAAAGTAGAAAGTAGATATTCTTTCCTGCAAATGCACATTGCAATTTCTCTATGTTGCGAAAAGGACATAGCTTTTGAGTTTTGAGGAACAGGTTGAAGCTACGGTCATCATCAGAAGATTGGAGATATCAAAGATTTGGTGGATGAATGCAACAAAGTAATTACAGAGATGGTAGTATTGGACTGGTAGTGTCATCCTTTCAGTTTACCAATCAAATTATGGAGCATGCATTAACAGTTAGAAAACTCATGTAGGACATAATGGAGAAACCTGTCTACAGGATTTAACGATAGCCTTTATGCTCAAGAAATTTAGGTTTTAGGGGATATTAAAATTGAGATTTCAAGTTTACAGGTATATGGAAGACGTAAAGGTTAATAGATGAATAAGGTTTGGTTTAATGAGTTTAACGGGATAGAACTCTGCCTGGCAGCAAGGAATAAATAATTTACTGTCATCAACAACAAAGGAAAAGAACAAATAATTTAAAGAGAGGGGGACTCCGAAATAACTGTTCCTTAATAATAGTTATAAAAGAAAAAAAAAAACTGTCCTTAATGCACCAGTTGCTAGAACTTGTAACT